TTTTGCTACTGTTAGCTGCTGTTAGCCTCTGTTAGCTGCTGTTAGCCTCTATTAGCTGCTGTTAGCCTCTGTTAGCTGCTGTTAGCCAGCATTCTTTGTAGTGGCTATAATATTTGTGTGCCATATGATGTGAGAATGTAATAAAACTGTTTATCAAAGGTTTTGTTTTTAGGACACATGAGCCGAACATTAGCTCCCATAATATTAATTTATACTTTAGAAGATGGGGCTTGTTGTGAGGAGATATCTGTTGACTTGTTTTATGTATGTTTTTTGTATACTCATGAGTATAATCTCTTTTTTGGTTTAAAATCCTATTAAATACCCTTAAGAGTTTAGGTTTTTTAAAAAAAATGATAAACCTTATCTATGTTTAAGTAATACTATTTACATTTTTTGAAAATAAAAAAGTAAATAATTCACATTTAATAGATTTAAGCATAATTAGTTGTTGATTTTTTAGAATAAAATACTCACTACAGTAAAATAAAATGTGCATAATGTGAAAATTATAATAACTCAGTGTTGCTAGAACTGCACTAAACAAAATTGAAGGTATTCCAGTATTTAAATTTTCACAAAGCCCTGCATGAAAAGCATGTTTGTGCATCAAGCACACACTTTACGTACAAAAATGAAAATGAAACAGCAAAAGGTGACAGAAAATGCACTGACTGGTTCTGGAAAAGGAACCTGCCCAACTTTAATCACCATGACAATGATTTTTACTGATGTGCATACTCAAAAATACTACACCAACATATTTTTTAATGTAAACTATGCACTGTAAGATATATAATGTAGCAAAAAAACAATTATTTTATCAGAACCAACATTATTATATTAAATGGCACCTGGACCTCTGTATAGAAATGACATGCACTATGTGAAAGGTAGAGCCAAGGATGAGACACAAGATATTTTTAGAATCAAACATGGTCATATTCATATCTCATCTAAAACATGATTGAACTGAGGATCAAAAGGAATTTAATGCTCAAGCAGCAGGGGTGCCAGAGCTTGTCTGCCAAAGGGTCCATTATGGTCCATTGGATGCCTTTGCAAAGAGTGAAAATTACAGAGAAAGAGGGCATAATTTTTGGACTGTACTTTGCACCTGGAGAGCACTCTGCAGCAAGTCATTATTAATGGATC